TAATGGGCCGAATCTCACTTGGGAAACAGAGGATGAACATGATGAGTCGCTATCCACATCTGTTTGCTGATGCATGATTCCGGGACGGAATCATCCTAAGGGGGAGAGAATTGTAACGCCCGGTTTCAGGGCTAAGCATTTTTGTCAATGTAATAGTCTAGGTCAACTCTTGTAACTCTTTTTGAAGTAATAAAGATGAAATATTTGAGTATTATGTGAATTATATGTGTTTATTATTTAATTATAAATGTATAATTAATAAAGAATAAAAATGAGCGTCAAAATTAAAGTGTGAGATAATCCCGATATCTCTACATAAAGTTGTAGAATATGTCTCAAGGTTTCCGTGCATATAAGGAACGCCGAAATCCGAGTTATAACGAAGAAGTTATGACCCGTCGAAGTTTCACGACAGAACCGGCACGATACCGGGAAGCGTGAATAGTGAATTTACGATAGAGCGAGATTTAGCCTTAGCGATCTAAACGAAAGTCGTAGAATATGTTAAACTAAGAACATCGATAAAAAGAACGCCCAAATCTGACTTCGTATGAAGAAGTTATGAGATTTTAAACAGACCAATCCTGTCCCGGCTGTTAAAAATATAACTTTAAAAATAAAGTCAAAATTAGCCGACGGAGTCTAAACGAAAGTTGTAGAGTACGTCTCACCTACGCGTGGATATAAAGAACGTCAAAAACGGAGTTCGTATGAACGAGTTACAAATTATAATAGCATATTTACGTATTAAAATAAAGTATAAATCATGTATACGTACACATATATATACATATGTATATATCATTAGAAAGGTATCGACGATGCGGTCATTATAAGACTAATGTTGAGTTCTTTCGACATTAGTTTAGTACAAATATCATTAAATCCATTTAAAATAGTATTATAGAGGGGTGTTTAGTTGTTTATATAACTAAAAGGTCATTAAGTAATTATGGAGGGTAGTTTTTGAAAATTCAATTAGTATAAATAAGAGCCTTGGGCTCTCATATTTCTTGCACCATTCTCTTGATTCAAGAGTCTTTCTCTCCTTATCCCCCGAGCATTTCGGTCCCTCGTGATTCGACTTCTCTTTCTGTAGCTTAGTATAGTAAGGTGAGCGCTGAAGCGCTGCACGAATCTTTCTTAGAAAGATTCAGCGACGAAGTTCTGCCCCTGCAGAGCCCGACTCCTAGCTAAAACCCCCTTGTAAGTAAGTTATGCTTACCTTATTTTAATATAGCTTATATTTAAAATTAGTATTGTTATTATGAACTTATAATAAATATTTGAGCTATTATTATAACTTATATAAGTGTCGTTATAATATTTTTTTTAACTACTCGCGGTACGGGGAATCTGGTTTAAAGGGCCGCATAGGGTTGTTGGATTTCAGAAGTGCTATATGCCAAAATGGTCCTGCCCTCCGGTGTTTTATGTCTGGCCCCTGTCTGTACATAGTGGTTGGAAAATATTGTTTAACGCTTATATAATAATAATAATACTAAGACTAATAGTTGGTCATGGTAAATATTAGACTAAAATTTAGCGATAATAATGCTAGGTTTCGTCGAAGGAAAATAGAATCGTTAGAAGCAAGCGCTGCCCGATTTTGGAATCATCACCTTAACAAGTGAGTGCATAGTTACTTTCAACTTACACATAGATATGAAGTATTTTATATAAATTACGTGCTATGTGTGCATATTATCTGAATACTTGCTATCTATGCTAGATGAACGTTGTTATACATGTTTTCAATGATTTAAACTGTATATGTATTTTATATCTACGAAAATGTTGGGGTAAAACATGGGTAGATGCAATAGGTGATGTGTGATAAAATGATGAGAGGCCTCGATGTTGATGTTGTTGATTCTGTCATCTAGCGGAGTATGGATGACGACCACGGACTCTTCTAGACAGTCCAGTGGAACACTAGCAGGCTCGCAACCTGTAGGTGTTTGTGAACGATGTGTTCGCCGGTGTACTCCATCCCCCACATGGTTGCCTTTAGGACATTTATTGCTGAGGAATCCCCTTAGCAGTAGTGTCCGTCCCGATGATGATCCTTAGGCTAGGTCCCTTATGATAGGTGTTTAGGGACGTAAAGTGAGGATAACGGGAACGGGTAATCGGGTTATTGTTGATCGATGAAATTAATAAACTTATTTATTGTGGGTTGAAAACCCTATGTGCTCACCAGGCTCCCAAGCCTGACCCACTCAGTTTTATGTATTACAGGTAGTGGCGCATGAGCATAGGTGTGATGTTTTGGACGAGGGATTACGGATATAGGCCTGTAGATATGAAATAATGTAGTAAGGCTTATATTGTACTGTTTATGCTTTTGATCTGTACGAACATGACATCCCGAGTCTTTTAATGAAATACATTTCTATGGAAATGCTTTTGATAAATCTTTATCAGATTTTTGTTTTGGGACAAATTCCGCAACACTTTCATTTAAAATGTAACTCTGATTTTTAAACAAAGCATAAACAAACCGGTCTTTTCTGGCCGTGATTTTGGGGATGTCACAAATAATAACATGGGAGTTTAAGCTCTATCTCAGGTCACAAATGAAACATACACAATGAATCACTTAACTTTTACTATGATGATTGCATCGCCAAAGAAGCACCACCGTGTTTAATCAGAACATGTTGTTGATGAGTGAAGAAGGGTTTAGAGATACAACAGCATAGAGGTTCATTCAAGGGCCTGAACTACAAGCTCTTGATATAGGGGTTTCAAATCCTCGTGATTTCTTGTTTAGAACATATTGCAGACTGCATCAGGAGTAGGTTTAGGGAGACAATATCGTAGAGAGACAAAAGACAGTCGGGTTTGCATCGGGAAGAATATCGGAGAAGAAAAGGAAACCGGTGATTTGTGACGTATGAGGGAGCGCCGGAGCGGTGATGTGGGTTTTTGGTTTTATGGAGAGAGAGAGAGAGAGAGAGAGAGAGAGATTCACGGTATGTTAGTCTAGATTTGATTTTCTAATCCCTACTAAATGAAATGAAAGGGCATAATATACATTTACCTTTAAAAATAGAGTAAATTACACGAATGGTTCCTATGGTTTAGGGTAATTTGCGCGTTTGATCTCTAACTTTTTTTTAATTCGGAAGGTTCCTACTGTTTGTTTTTGTTAAACGCTTGGTCCCTATCTTACCTAAAAAAAACTATTTTGCCCTTGATTTTTTAAAATATTTAAATAAACACACCCCAACCCCAACCTCCCTCACCTTACGTTACATATCCCATAATTTTTTCCTATTTAAATATAGTCTTTTTAGGTAATACAAGGACCAATCATGTAACAAAAACAAATAGTAGGGACCAAGCGCGTAAGAAAAACAAACAGTAGGGGCTTTCCGAGTTAAAAAAATAAGTTAAGGACCAAACACATAAATTACACCAAACCATAGGGACCATAATTTACTTTTAAAATTACGTAAAGAAACCGTGGAAATACCGCCTCCCATAATATAATGATAATTTAAATAGCAAATGGTTGACCAAATAAAACATAAATGAGTAAAATGCGCAACTGAAACTTGGAGATAAATCTTATTTTGAGAAAGTAGCTCTAATTTGAATTTGGAATTTGAATCGGTTTCTATTTGTTATCAAGTATCTTTTTTATTGTGTTTTACTTGATGAAGGACTCTTTTATGGGATTCTCCTATATAATATAATAATGACATTGGTTTAGTTTTCAAATGCATAGCAATTCTTTGGCTACGATGGGCAACAACTACAACCACCGTCAAATAAATGAACTTCTCGGGCTGACTGAATCCAATGCAAACATCCTCGAAGATCTGATCAATCGTGTAGAACGTATGGAGGCGGAGTTGCAAAAGTTTCGACAAAATCAATATGAAGGGAGGGACTCTGAGTTTAAAAGGTTCTCTACACCACCACCACAATACTACAAGGAACAACCACCGCCGTACCACCAGCAACCTTCACCGCAACTAGATCAACTAACTGGTGCTTGTGAGACTTCTTCAGATGAGGAGTGCGAACGGGGTTTTTGCCTAGTAAAGAAACAAAATCAATATCTTTCAAAGGTAGATCTAATACCTCTTTTTAAGAAGAATCCTAATTTTGACGAATTTAATGAGTGGGCAAGGGATGTCGAAAGATTTTTTGAGTTTTATGAAATCCCGGAGGATGAACAGGTAGAAATCGTAGCCTATAGATTGGAAGAAGATGCTTTCTCATGGTGGCAACTAATCCAAAATCTGTGCAGGCGGTTCAATAAACAACCGATTAAAGAGTGGACACAAATGAAGAAGATGCTGATGGGTCGGTTTCTTTCTCCGTAAGGAAGGAGTAGCATTTGTTTTGAGTCTCGAGTTCTAATTTTGTTGATAAAAACGTTTGTTTTGGCGATTATTTTAAGAAAGCTTAGTCAAAATTTGCTATTTATTTGATTATGAAATACTTATGACCATTAATTCATGACAATGAAATAAAAATATGATTAGCACAATAGAACGAATAAATTATACGCGATATATATATATATATATATATATATATATATATATATATATATATATATATATATATATATATATATATATATATATATATATAATTTGGTATAGCTGAATTTTAATGAGAGTTTAGTATCAAAAGTAGTCGTTTTACAAAATAATTATCAAAGACTGATTTTTCAAAATTATTTACTTAAGTATGGTAAATTAATACATATTAGTGGGGCCCACTTCTTTTACAAATAGAAAACTCTTCTATTTGCACGACACACCGACCTTTAAGACTAAACGGTGTTATATAACCAATAGTATTCGTCATATAGGATCATAGACATTAAACGGTGTTATATAACCAATAGTATTTGTCATATAGGATCACAGAGACATGTTTGTTATTTTTATCATTTTTGAAAAATGATAAGATGTTGTGTTTAAACAAATAATGTAAACGGTAAAAGAAGAGAGAATGGTGGAATCTCACTGATGGCTAAAACCGCCAGTAAACAAAAGTGTCGCAGACGGGTGTCACCGGCGGGAAAGCAGGTCACGTGGGTTTGCCAGTGGTAAAAAAGCTACGAGACCAAAATAATTATCAAAGTCTGTGTTTTCCTTATATAGTTTGTTATAGCCGAATCATAATTAGAGTTTTGTACCAAAATATAGTCGTTTATTATCAAAGTCTGTTTTTTCAAATTTATTTACATAAGTATGGTAAATTGGTAATACATATTAGTGGGGCCCACTTCTTTTACAAATAGAAAACTCTTCTATTTGCACGACACACCGACCTTTTAAGACTAAACGGTGTTATATAACCAATAGTATTCGTCATATAGGATCATAGAGACATTAAACTGTGTTATATAACCAATAGTATTTGTCATATAGGATCATAGAGACATGTTTGTTATTTTTATCATTTTTGAAAAATGATAAGATGTGGTGTTTAAACAAACAATGTAAACGGTAAAAGAAGAGAGAATGGTGGAATCTCACTGATGGCTAAAATCGCCGGTAAACAAAAGTGTCGCAGACGGGTGTCACCGGCGGGAAAGCAGGCCACGTGGGTTTGCCAGTGGTAAAAAAGCTACGAGACCAAAATAATTATCAAAGTCTGTGTTTTCCTTATATAGTTTGTTATAGCCGAATCATAATTAGAGTTTTGTACCAAAATGTAGTCGTTTATTATCAAAGTCTGTTTTTTCAAATTTATTTACATAAGTATGGTAAATTGTAATACATATTACTAGGGCCCGCTTATTTTATAAATAGAAGAAACTTTTATTCGCAGTAAAGACCATCCTTTTAAGACTAAACAGTGTCATATCATTAGTAGTATTTATCACATAGGATGATAGAGACATGCGTATGACATTTATCATTTTTTTAAAATGGATAAGATGTGATGTTTAGGTTTACCACTGGCAAAACGAAAAGAAGAAGATGGACAATTTAAATGGTAAAAGAAGAGAGAACGGTGGAATCTCACCGATGGCTAAAACCGCAGGTTAAAAAAGTGTCACGGGCCAGTGTTCACCGGCAGTAAAGCAGGCCACGTCAGTTTGCCGAGGATAAAAAAGCTACAATACCAAAATAATTATCAAAGTTTGTGTTTAACTTATATCGTTCGTTATAGTTGAATCATAATTAGAGTTTTGTAACAAAAAGGTAGTCGTTTTACAAAATAATTATCAAAGTCTGTGTTTTCAAATTTATTTACATAAGTATGGTAAATCGGTAATACATATTACTGGGGCTCACCTCTTTTATAAATACAAGACTTCTATTCGCTGTAGATACCATCCTTTGTTTTCTACTTTGCTCGTCGGAAAAATAAATAAACCACCAATTTGGTATATTTACAAAGTTATAGATAAATTAAGAGTTGATAAACGCATATATATAAATAAATAAATAATATTGGATGTTTTGAAAATTAATGTTGTGAACATTATTCAGCGAAGAGATCTCTGCAATCATTGTTAATGTATACGTTTATGTGTCATTCTAGCCCATTATTGTATGTAATGTATAGGCCCATCATAGTTTGTATTTTGAGTATATATTCTCGTATTGTAACCTCTTGTTAATCAAGAAAGTCTTTTGACATGTTATCAGACCATTTCCAAACTTTCCTAAAATCTTCCTTTTCTTCCCTCACTTTCCTTTCCCACTTCATCTTCTACCTCCGGCGGCTCCTAACCCTACCGACACCTTCTCTACAACCTCGTCATCAACAATGGTTACAATGGTTGGAGAGCATGACCTAATCCTCCATCACACAGTTTTTGTTGTCACCAATATTAAAGCACACATCCCTATTCTTCTTAATCTTGATCAACATAATTATGATACGCGGCGTGAGTTCTTTTCCACTCATTGTGAAGCCTATGATGCACTCGATCATATTGATGCAACATATGATGATCCAACCCCAAAATCTACCAAATCCAAGTGGAAGAAGGTAGATGCAGTGATTCGAACATGGATCTACATGGCCATGTCTCAAAATCTAGTCAACGCGGTTATCAAATCCAACGTTCTGGCGGGTCAAATACGGTTGAACATTGAAAAGCTTTTTAAGATGTGTTGATTAAGACGGTGTATTCCAATCTCAACCATGTATTACTTTCCATCTCAATTCCAATCCCAACCTATACCCCAGCCCAATTTTAACGCATTTGAAACATTGCAAGAAAATCAATTTCAGTCTCAACCCTGTATTAGTTCTGATTCAACAACCAAATCCGAAGATGTACCCGAGCATGGGGACCAAAAGAAGAAAAAAGGGAAGGTTGACAACCAAACTTGGAAACCGGATGAAGAGAATTTAGCGGAAGCAGAGGTTGACACATAAGAGGACCTTATCCTTTGAGACAACCAAGATGGAACAATTTTTTACGTAGTGGAAATTTTTTCTTAACCGGATGAAGAGAGGAACATACCACATGAAAGATCAAATATATTCAAAATGGTGACATACAATAGGGCTGACAATTCTCGACACGACACGCGACACGACCCGCGACACGACACGAAATAAATGGGTTTGGGTTGAGTTTTTCAACCCGCCAACCCGTTTATTAAACGGGTCATATATGGGTTTCTCAAAAAATAAACGGGTTGACCCGCCAACCCGTTTATATTCTTAATAAAAAAAATTATTATATTTTTAAATGTATTTATGTATCAAGTATTAATATTTAATAAGTATTATATAATATATACCATTTATTCATAGACCATTTGATTGTTTTGATATTATTACTCGTGGTGGATGGTCTAAAGTCATAAGTCGTAACCTATAAGACTAAGTCTGTAACATGTTTCTATGAATGTTTTTAATTTTCATTTGGATGTTTAAGACTTAAATATCTAAAATTTAGACCCACGAACCCAAATCTGACCCACGAACCCGCCAACTTGTGAACCCGTATAAATAAATGGGTTGGTGGGTCATATATGGGTTTAAGTTCCAAACCCGCCAACCCGTGACCCGCCAACCCATGACCTGTATATTTAAATGGGTCATGTTTGGGTTGGCATATTTTGACCCGCCAACCCGTGACACGCCAACCCGAACACGACACGATTGTCAGGCCTAACATACAAGCAAACTTCGAATGGATCGAATTCAATCGTGTCTGCGTTCGTTAACGCCGTGAAGCGGTCTTGGCCGAGCAGTACTAAGGATGCACAAATCCTAGCCAAATCTCAAGAAATGTATCACAAATCAAAGAAGGCATTAAAAAATATTGACTTTTGGAGTGTTGTGAAGGACAAAGAAAAATGTCTTAAACAATACACATCGGGAGATTTCACAGGTGGTTTGAAAGGAAGCAAAACATCTAAAAATTCTCATCGCCAAGCTTTTGATTCACAAGTTGGGATAGACCTCAACAATGACAACCCATATGAAATTACAAGGTCAAGCCATCCTATGGGAAGAGCTCGAGCGAAGAGAAAGCTAAAGGGTGTCGAAGGTTCATCAAGTCTTAATGAGGATAAGAGAGAGGGGCTCCTAGAGTTAAATGAACACATCCAAAAAGATGTTGCAAATTACGCACAACAAAAAGAAAAAAAAATCTCAAGTTTAAACTTTTCATGAAAGGCATTTCAAAATTACCCGAGAATCAACGTAAGTTGTGGAGAAAGTGAAGGCGGACATTATGAAGAAACATAATTTGGAATATTTGAAGGATTTATGTTTTACGTCTTGCTTTAAGCCATGTTTTTAGTCAAATTTTAAGTGAAGTTTTAATTCTAGTGTTAAGACAAGTATTAAATCTAGTATTAAGTCATGTTTCAAATGTCGTAACTTTCTGTTTTATTTTAATAAAATGTTTGTTTTTAGAAAATATGTAGTTTAAGTTTAAAAAACGAAAAAAAAAAAAAAAAACCTATCTTGACCCAACCACCAAAACGGCATGTGATATATGTTGTGTGTCAAAAATGATGCATTGTAGTAGAGTGTCAAACATGACATCACTACCTCCTTCTAACACCCTGTATTTACCATTTCATAGGATTCAATATAAAACATTGTTTATATAAATAGAAGTAAAGATATATTACTTTTTACCCCAATTAATCATCATAAACATGTAGGAAACATCGATATGATTTCCGTAGATATATAGAACGCATAAATCTAACTTCGTATGAAAAAAATTATGCTTCTTCGAAATTTTGCGATTAAACCGACACGGCTCAGCGTATCTTAAAAAGTGAAATTTAGATAGGTTGTTTATTATCCTAAGCATAAAACCGAGATAATGCATATAAAGATTGTCCAAATCTGACTTCAAGAGAGGAAGTTATGATTTTTCAAAGATTCAGTGCAACAATGCAGGCTCAGAAATCGAGATTCAAATCAGTTGATTGTTAGCCAAAACAATCTAAATGAGAATTAAAGATCTCAAAAATATGAAAACGTTGATATAAAGACGGTCGATAATGGAGTTTGTATGAAGCACTTAAGAATTTTACATAGTTGTTAACAGTATAATCTTCGTAGACTCTTAAATTTAAGATCGGTCGAAAATTAGTTGACGGAATCTAAATGAAAGTTGTAGTACTCGGAAATACCTATGTGTGGAAATAAAGAACATAAAAACGTAGATCGTATGAGGGAGATGTTAAAAAACGACACTCAAATCATTCCCAACATCTTCATTTCTTATATCATTTTATGACAAAGAAACAGAAGGTTTTTTATATACTTACAACTGAAAACTCACTACAAACAACCTAATCTACTCTCAACTATGAAACACTCATCCTAATCTACTCATCTTCTCTATACAATCTGTTTATTACAAATGAATAAGAACAAACAAAACAAGAACTCGATATGAAACAAGAGAGACTGACTATCGCTCCAAGAAACCCTGATGTTTAGATCTGAAAATGGATGAACAATGACTCTCTCTTTCCTCTAGAAAATATCTCCTCTCTTTTTATACTTCGGTTTTACCCGTTTACAATAAGGATCCAATAATAAGATCCGAGTGAGGATCCGGGTGTATACCTGTTAAGACCCGCATGTGCACTTGTTTCCTTATACCAAAATAATCCTTTTCATATATAAATATTTGATTGTAACGCATATTAACATTTCAACATCCCCCCTCAATCAAATATTTATTATTTTTTATTTTTTGCAAAAAACATCAATAAGACCCAACCTTTTTAGAAAAAACTCATGCTGTTTAACACTTAATGATTTTGTAAGACAATCGGCATTTTGATTACACAAACTTATTTTTACTAATTTCAATACACCACTTGAAATTTTTTCCCTAATAAAATGAAGATCAACTTCAAAATGCTTGGTTCTTTCATGAAATACTGGATTAAGAGCTAGCTTAATAGTTGAATCATTATCACAATATACTGAAACAAGAATAATATCTTTAATATTTAATTCAAATAAAACTTTCAAAACCCACAATATTTCACATGTAATAGAACCTAAGGCTCTATATTCTGATTCAGTTGATGATCTTGATACTGTAGATTGTTTTTTACTTTTCCAAGAAATCAAAGAATTATTGAAATAAACCAAATAACCTGTTACAAATTTTCTGGTGGTAAGACATTTAGCCCAATCTGCATCTACAAATCCTTTTAATTCAAAACCATCATGTTTTGTCAAAGCAATACCTTTCCCATGACTATTTTTTAAATATCTCAAAATTCTGAAAGCAATTTTTAAATGAGATTTTCTAGGCTTATGCATGTATTGACTAAGAACTTGAACTGCATAAGAAATATCAGGCCTTGTTATAGTAAGATAAATCAGCTTTCCTATAAGTCTTTGAAATTCAGTTTTATTACTCAACAACTCATCCTTTTTATCAAAGTCTCCTGAACTTATCACAAAATTAGTTTCTAGTGGTGTAGCTACAGGTTTACATCCAAGCATACCATATTCATGTAAAAGCTCAAGACAGTATTATCTTTGATTTAAACACAACCCACACTCAATATTTACTACTTCTATTCCTAAAAAATATTTGAGTGTACCTAAATCTTTAATTAAGAATTGACTTTTCATAAATTCTTTTACTTTCTTAAGTTCAAATTCATCACTACCAGTCAAAATAATATCATCTACATACACCAAAAGAATAGTAATAGAACTATCACATTTTCTAATAAACAAAGAGTAATCATTAACACTTTGTTGAAAACCAAACATAAACAATGCAGCACAGAGTTTTTCATTCCATTTTCTAGGTGCCTGTTTAAGACCATATAAAGACTTAGTCAATTTACAGACTCTAAGATCATTTTCAGAATAATAACCAGGTGGAAGACACATATATACATCTTCTGAAAGATCCCCATACAGAAAAGCATTATTTATGTCCAGTTGATATAATGACCAAGAGTAATGAACAGATAAAGAAATTACAATACGAACAGTTACTATTTTTGCAACAGGAGAAAAAGTCTCCTCAAAATCAATTCCCTCTCTTTGATTATAACCTTTTGCAACCAACCTAGCTTTATACCTCTCAACCTCACCATTAGATTTATATTTAATTTTATACACCCACTTACATCCAATTGCTTTCCTGTTTTTAGGTAGACTAGTTATTTCCCAAGTATTATTTCTATGTAAAGCTTCCATTTCCTCATTCATAGCCTTGACCCAATTTGGATCAGTAACAGCTTCACTAAAATTTTTAGGTTCAATTGTTTTATTCAAATTTGAAACAAAACATTTAGTTTCAGAATTAAGACAAGAATAATTCACAGTTCTTTCAATACCATACTTATATTTACCTTCTACCACATAATCAGTAAATTTAACAGGCATTCTTGACTCACGTCTAGACCTGGAGGGACCCAAAGATTGCTCAATTAAAGGTAAAAAATGAGACTGACTATCTTCCTCAGACACACTAGAAGAAGAAGGAACTGAGGACCCAGTAGGAGGCACAACTGCCTCGCCACTTCGGTTAATAGTCTCATTACTGACATCATCCAAGTCAATGGCTGCATCAGCACCATCCAACTGGGATTCAATTCTCAACTCATCAGGATTAATAGAATCATTTTGATAATCATTAGTGTCAAAGTCAT